ATAATAATTATTATTATCGTGACACAGACAATTATTATAACAGAAATCAATAAAATAAATTTAGTAACAAAAATTGCCATGAAAGAAATTTAGATAATAAATATTATAAAGAGACATATAACAATAACAACTTTAGAGATTATAATTATCGATCATATAATGATCAAAATATTCGTAATAAAAATTATGATCTTAATAAAAATAAAACTTATAATAAAATTAGGGAAGTAAAAGATGAAGAACCAATTGATTTAGAAAATAACCAGGATTATTAATTTTGGAGAGTGATTCAGAGGATAATCAGACATGGAGACATAATATAATAAGAAATAGAAAATTTTTTAATGTAATAAATATAAATAAAATTGATATATATATATCGTGTGAAAATAATAGATAATATGAGAATCACTACTAATAATTTTGAGATAATCTTAACAGAATTTATTTAGGAAGAAATTGAGGATGCTAATTTTCAAAATGAAATAGATTCTTATAAATTAAAAGAGATATATCATATGATTTAAAGAAATACTTGTTAAAGAAGTTAATGACGTAAATATTAAAGAAAATAATAAAATTAAAGAAATTCTTATAATTAATGATAAAAGTGATAAAAAATTTAAAAAAACTTTGAAGATAAGGAAACTTAAAACAAATATTATAAAGAGAGGCAAGGTAAAAGTTAAATATCTTGATGTTAGAAAAGTTTTTAAGGATGTGATATGGAGATCATAAATGGAAGGCTAAAGAAAATTTTATTTATAAAGAACAATTTGAAGATAAATTATAATATTAAAATAATGTTTATATTGAAAATAAGGGAGTGAAGTTCAAAGTTTAAAAATAAAAATAATTGAACTTTAACAAAATAAAAAATTATTATATAAAACGTGACAATTCAAAATATTCTGATTCAATATTCCAATATATGATTATTATTCTTTTTCTATGAATTATTCCGATATAATATTTATTCCATTATCATTAAATTATTCCAAAATTATTTTATTCGATATAAATTGATAATAATAATAATTACAAACAATGATAACTAAATAACGAGATGAATAAGCTAATGTGGTGATGATGATCAAGTGAATGATTAGACGATCAGGATAACAAGCTAGCGATTCGAACAAACCAACGAAAATATATGATTTAGGGAACAACAACAATGGCGAAAATATTAAAAAACGATTGGGGCAAGACTTAATTAACTTGGTTGAAAAATGTTTTTAGAGAGGGAAGAAGTGGAGACAGTGGCTCCTACAACGGTAGGGGGGAGGGGGGTTTGAAGCAACTGCCTCTAAAAAAATTTTTTTTTTAAAATTTTTAAATTTTTATTTTAAAATTTTTATTTAAATATTTTTTAAAAAAATTGTTTTTAGATTTAATTTTTTTTACTGTTTTGCCACATCTATCCATAATTGATTTCTGGTTTATGTATGTAATAATAAAATCCCCCCCCCCCCCAACTTATTATTTAATTTAATTAGTATTGACGGAAATTTTGGCTGATGTAGTAAATTAGGTTGTAATCCGAGATTTCTTTTCATAAATTATTTTACCAATTTCAAAATATGCCCAAAAATATTAACCAAAAAATATAAAATGTGTTAGAAGAAAAAAAGATATCTGACTCTTTTAATGATCATGAAATTTAATAGTGATATTATTGTGCACGAATCTTCACAGGCACATAAGATGGCCGATTATGGAAGGATCACACAATAAAAATTCCACATTACAATTTATAATACCCGAGAAAAAATGTGTGGATAACCGTTCTATCATAAATAATAATAAGATGTCTAGGTTATTTAATATCTCATAACCAAGCCTTCTGGGGGAACACGAACAGGCAACAATAAGCAATATGATGGGCCTTATTAAACTCATTACAGATTCTGAACCTGTATTGGGAGAAAACAAAATAAGGGATTAAAAACGAAATTATATTCAAATCTATTATCATATAATAACATAAATATTCTCATTGAAATATAGTCAAAAAAAATTCAATATGTCATTGAATTTAATAGATGCTTTTCAATCATAGTTGATGGCACATATGTGATGTTTTGAAATCAGAAGCAATAGCTTTGATAGTAATATATGAAAATAGTGAGATGCCTAAGCCCATTGAAAGACTGACTGATAGACATACATTGTATGGGAAATACAATTGGTCTCGATATTAAAAAGAATATAAAATCCAAACTTGTCCACGAATTTACCTCTTGAATTCCTAGTTGGGCAAAGCTATGATGGCGTCTCAAACATGAGTGGAAGAATCAATTGAGTTCAGGCTTTGATTAGAGGGAAGGCGCCAAAGGCAGCTTTTATTGGTCATCGATTAAATTTAATCATTGTTCAATTATGTTAATCAATAAATGAATTACGAAATGTTTTAGGAATATTAAACGAGATTATATATATTTTAATGGTTAAAAGATATATGGACAAAATAGCAACGATTTTTACGCATCAAGAATACCACTCGGTAATATTATCTTATTTGTTTAGATAAATTCTGGCTATCATCTTATAAAGCTATTGTAAATTTTTCCTACTTTATGATGCCTTGAGGGCAGCTTTAACAAATTTAAAGGATTCTGAAGATACTGCCACTTCCACTATGGCTAGTGCTATAGTCTTTAGAATAGAAAAATTTTATTTTATTTTATAGCTTTGTGTTTTGGATAAAATATTGTTGATAACAAGTTTTGCTTGTACAAAATTTCAAACCATTTCAAAGGATATAGGGTTTTCAATAAATCAAATTTAATTGGCAAAAGATTGTCTATTAATTTGAGAAGTATAATTTAAATTGTTTTTAATTATTTTTTAATCCTAATAGATAATAACATTGAATTTTTGGATGTTTTTTCAAAAGTACAAGATTTTATGAAGGAGAGAAATCTAATTTTATCATCGAAAAAATTTAGTTAAACAATTTCATGGGCTGGGTATGGGTCTAATATTATATTTTCTAGCGGGTCTGGGCCGGGCCTGGATTTAAAAAAAATTTTTTTGATGGGCTTGGGATGGGTTTGGACCTAAAATTATTAAATTTAAATTTAGATTATTTAAAACAGTTGCTAATTTAAAGAAATATTGCCTTTTTTTCTTCTAATAATAATAAATTTCAGTATAAACAAAATGATTGCCTAAATATATTTAAATATTGTTTGTTTTCATTAAATAAAAAAAATTAAACTTTTGAATATGGGCTTGGGCTGGATTTGGGAATTTTTTTTGAAACTTATCATGGGCTTGGGAATTTTTTTTAACATTAGATATAGGCCGGACCGGGCTTGGGCCAAAAACAATTTTTACTACGAGGTTGGGCAAGGCTTGGTCAAAAAAATTAAGGCCTTTGAAGGTCTCTGCAATAAATAATAATATAATTATAAATTCTTTCGCTTTCTCTTCCCCTGATTTATCTGAATTATTAATTTAAAAATAACATATTTTTACATTTTATTTATATTATATATCAAAGATTGTTGCAATAAAAATTTTTTATTAAATTTATTGGTGTCAAAAAATAATCGACCATTTTTTCGAGGGGGGGGGGCTTTTCAGGGGGTATTCTGCTTTCATTCCTCAGAAAGTGTAGAGGCCACTGTGTGGAGAACATGTTCAAAGTCAAGTTCAAGATCAAAGTCAAGTTCAAAATCAAGTTCAAGATCAAGATCGAAATTATAATTTACGACCTAGAAATTTTTTTAGTTATAAACAAATGAATAAAAGTTTTGTTATAAAATATAAAAATTTTGAAAGCGAAAATATATTAAATCTGATCAACGAAGTGATGGAATGATCAAAACAAACAGCAAACTATCAACAAATAATGATCCAACCGACAAACAAACTCACGCATTACTAGCAAATGACTAATCAATCAACAAATAGGATGATCAAGATAGGACTGAAGTCAAGATAAGGAAAAACTTAAAAAAAGAGGGAAATGTTAAATATAAAATAAAACTTTTTAAGGTCATTTAAATTATTTAACCTTAAAAAAAAAATTTTCTTAGTAAAATGAAATTTTTCTTTGTTTTTATAATGAAATAAGGACATATTATTAATGAATTTACCTCAAATATTATTATTTTACAATATATAACAAAAACGTTTAATAATATTATATAAAAATATACCTAAAACTATCTAAAAAAAACATACAGATATCAATACATTTAACCAATTATATCTAGATACAGATACCACATTTGTATCTGGTTGCTTTGACAACTCTTATAATTATGGGATATCTAGGTTAATTTAAAATCTTTAATTCTTTAAAAAAAATCTCAAAATTTATTAATAAATCCTTAAGGCTAACTTTGTTTTTCAATTCAATTTCCTGATGATTAGGGGAGAGGGTTTTAAATAATTGTGCTGGTTTCGCTTTTATTTATTTTATATTATTTTATTATATATGTTCAATACTCTCATTTTGTTATTAATTTTTCTAATTTTTAATCGTTACTAACTATATTTATGTTGGAAAAAATAGATATATAAAAAGATATAAATATCTAAAAAAAAATTTGAAAAAGATATTTTTAACGAATTACCTTTTAGCTAAAAATTATGTAAAATATAATAGAACATTTAGATATATTTCCACTTAACTAAAGAAATAATCGCACGAAAAAAATAAAATAAAAAATAATAATATCCTAGCAAAAAATTTTTAAATATTTTTATTTTAGAATTCATATCATAAAGTTATGATTAGCATATCTTGCCAGTAACGGCAACTTATAAAAATGTATATTGAAACTGAAATTTTATAAACCCTTGAAAAAATCTTAATTAAATTTTTCCTATTTGCAAAAAAAAGATCCAATCTCCGAGGAAAATCTCCATGCTTACATATTATCTTGGCTAAAATCATAATGGAACAGTTTTTAAATCGGGTCAAATCTGACTTTTTATTAACACTAATTCCTAAAATAAAAATATTTTTCAATGATTTTACTAAATTAATATCCATCGATTTTACATCTATCACAAACCATATGATCGTTTTAAAATAAAATATCACATATAGGGGGAAGAGATTTTCTAAATATATATTTATAATATAAAAGTAATTGTATTTTATAACTTCGTTTATATTTTATAATATGAATAAATATATATATTTCTATGTTAAATTTATTTAAATGTAAGTTTTTTCTCAGGCCTCATTTATTTTTAACAGCAAAAATAGCATTATATGAAATTGTTTTGTTACAAAATTAACCAAGTTAAATAGTACAGCTATGCTATTAGCAATGACCATATTGCTTAATAATCACTTTGGTTACTATAAATGAAGCCTTAGGGACCTCCTTAAAAAATTTTTGGACCTCCTCCTTCATAATTATTTTGTATAAGTAAAAGAAATTACTTTATAGAGGCTCATACCCCTTTAAAAAATATAAAATTGATTGACTGTGTATTTTGATTAATTCTAATCTTAAATTATTTCTGATTTATTAGCTTGAAATGTGTTGATATCTTACAACCATCCATGTTATACCTATAGCTTTATGTAAAATTATAATTAATATGTATTCTATAATAGTAACACTATATATTTTTTAATATAATTTATATTTCATTTTACTGATTTTGGATTATTTTTTCTAAAAATTTATTTATAATTCTACTTTAGTTAATTAAATTTACTAAATTATAAATAGATATACAATCAGGATTAAAATTATTATTAACTAAAGTATACATATCTCTATCCAGATTGACATTTAAATATTAATAAACTATGCATCTTTTTGCTAGCCTAGAAAAAAATATACATATAGAAAAATTTACTGAAAAATAAATATTTAATTTTGTTATATTTATTGTTATTATATTTAATTATTCTTGTAATTTTAAAAAACAAAATCCTTTTGCAGTTTTTTAAAAATGTTTATAAAATTAAAAGGACAAGGTTAACAATTGTGAAAAAAAATATATATACTTATAAATCATTTTGCCCTTCATAAATATAATAATTTAATTTTTATATTTAAAATTTATTTAAGGAAGCATGTTTAACTAACATAGTCTTAAGCTCTATGTCATTTAAAAATATTCTATAAATTACTTTAAAAAACATAAATTGAGCTATGGTTGCTGTTAAAGGAAATTTAATCATAAATTAAATCAATAATTTCCTTATTAAAAAAAATAATAATTGAAATCTCATTGAATAATTGTCTATATTATGTTGGGGCATGCACAATATTTAATTTCAATAGATCTTTAATTCACATACTCATATTGAACAAGATGTTATCCCATCCCATAATATCCTATTATGATCTGACCATTGCTATTAGAGGTCTGCAAATGCAGTTAAGGCCTGTTATGAATTTTTGCACAAGTTGTCTGGCCGCCCATTTTGAAATATTTGCCCAGCCAGGATTGTAAAAATTTTCAAAAAGTCTGCCCCAGTCTTTTTTTCTGTACTACTATCTAATTTTTTGTATCCATATTTAATTTTTCTCAATTTTAATAGGCTCATATATTTATCCTTTATGACTATCTATTTTTACAACAACTAAATCAATTGTTGTTATATCTAGGTTTGTAATAAACCTCTAGCTATGAGCCCGCCAGCCCCGCCTAACCCGCTCATAGTTTTTAAATATACCCGGCCGCCCATTTAAAATTTTTACTCACCCGACATTTATTAGTTTAAAATTTTTTACCCACCCGCCCACTATTTATAAAAAAAATTTAACCCACTTCCGCCCGTATAAAATTTAATACGCTCATTCTTTTAATTTATTTAAGCATCTATTAAAAAAAAATGATTCAGTTTTAGCGCCGTCCCTATAAAAAAGTTTTATAATTTAGGAAATTACTATTATTACGCATAAAAATATATTCAATTTAAATTGCGGATAAGGAATTTATTTGTTCTAATAAAATATCTATGAAAAAAATATGAAAATAATGAATCCACATTTTCGGGATTCAAACAAATTCTTCCTCTAAAATGTTACAGCAATACTAATTTCTCGTTCAAAAGAAGCACTAATTGCTGGAATTGTAAATATTTTTTTTAGCTGATCTTGATAACTTTGATAAATCGTTTTCTTATCGTTTCCACAGATATCCGTTTGAAGTATCCTCTTCCTCAAGTGAGATATTTAAAAGTGAAACCATTTTTAATAGATAAATAAAATTAATATAAATTAATTGTTTATAAATTGTAAACTTAAACTAAACAAAGTAATCTAAAATCTTGTTAAATTATACAAAAACTCGTTACTTTAAGATTTTGTTGTCATTAGGTAATGCTCTCCTCTGTTACAGCCACATATTCCCATCTGTTATTTAATTTTGACGTGGATGCTATCTATTTCAAACATTTTCTCTTTGCTTTTGGGGAAACGGGTAAAATCAGATTTTCAGCCACGCCAATATTGTATTCTTCCATGCAAATAAAATCCAACATGTTTTTGATACATTTTTTTCATTAATTTCTTCCGACGACAACATCCACATTTATGAGAAGCTATTAAAAATGTTTAAATTTTACGGAGCATATTTTTTTAAACTTTATATAACAAACAAAAGTTAATTTTTGCTTAACCCGCCTGCCTATTGTTCGGGCTAAAAACTCGCCCTTTGCAGACCTCTTATGTATTGTGGTATATTTGTTGTATCATCTCATAAATTGATTATTTAATTTTTTTATAAGTTTATTATATCATTTATAGATTTAGGAGGTAATTCGACAGCTCCTTAATTACAATATTTTTAAATAGTATTAATCAAAAATATTAGCTTGAAATATATCAAAATTTTATTGTTCGGGGCCCTGCCGTATGTATAAATTTTCTGGCGTACACCTGGCCGGAAAATATTTTATGCATTTATGGCTCAGCCCGTTAAAAAAAAAATTAGACCTTACCCTTTTTATTTTTCCAGCCCAACCCAGACTTTCGGACGGGCCGGGCTTTACAGATCTCTAATTACTATTACTTCATTATAATATTTATCATATCAAAAAATATTATTAGTGACTTTATCCCATCCTTCGCACAAGTTATATAATATGCAGACAGTTCTCTCCATCCAGCTTTAGGTGGTAGGTTTGCCCATGCATCCATTTACCTCAAAATCAACCAACCCTAACAAATAATTTTTATTTTCCCGATTCTCTTGACTGGAATTCTCGTATTAACACTCTCTATATCCCTCCCTCCTCACCTCATTTAATCATCATATACTATGAGCTAGTTCATTCATTTATCCAAACCACGATGAATTCGCCCATCACACGCAAAGAATTTAGCTCCTCATCGGATTCAACTAGCGAAAAGAAGATGTCTTCTAATAATCACGTTCTCATCTCTACCATCCCTCAACCCTACCCTCAAAACCATATGAAAAACGCCCTAAAACATGCCCTGGGAGGTGGGCTAACGGGCTCCATGGCTATGGCTTGTCAAGTAACATCCCTTATGTGGATGAGAACCGTTATGAATTATCAATACAGGTTTGTAGATGCTGGGAATTTCTTCACGGCCGCCCGTAAACTAATAAAAGAAGGTTTTATTAATATCTATATTTTTAATGAAATAATTAGTATTTATATAATAAATAATATAATCTGCATCACGTTTTGCTCCATTTAAATCATGGCCATCGATACATAATTTATTAGAACTTAGGATATTTGAAAGATTTAAGCTTACTAAACAGAGCAAACTAAACCAGAAGTCAGTGCAGCCCGACCAGAAATCCGTGCGAGCCGCCGTACAAAAAGATTATCGGAGGGCTGAACAAATTTGACAAAATGTTTTTAAAGGGCTGTGCAGGTTTTGAAAATATTTTCAACGCCTATAGACAAAATTTTAAATAATGGATAGATGTCTTTGGCGATAATTGTTATATAGATATTGAATTACCAGAATTCGAATTTTTCGGCTCTGTCCCTTTTAAAAAATTCTCATTTCCAAGGGTTCGGATTTTTTTAAAAAAAATATAATTTGTCATTTTTATAAATTTTTGACTGTATTTTAATAAATGGCTTTCCCGACGGAAATGAAAGAAGCGACAAATGAATGAATGTTTCACGTGAATTTTCATTTAGTTGATTTAAAAATTTAAGTTAATTTTTTTTAAAAAAATGAGGTACAGCTGGGGTTTGTAATTTTTTTACTGTCGGTCCTGCTCTACTTTTCAAAATTACGCATTTAGGGGACAGGATTCAGGACGGTTTTGCATGTCGTGATGCATTCATGTTTGTGATGTGTATGTAATAGTTTAGCATTGACATCTAATAATTCTTAGATTGATGATTCATTCATTTAAATGGTATAAACTTTCATTGCAAATCAGCCTGTGGCTCCCCATTTTAGTTTTACAGTAAAATTTTTATTAAAACTTGTTTTAAAAAAAATCAGTGTTTCAATTTATAATTAAGAAAGTTATTGGAAACCAAAATGGCGTGTCACTAGCTGATTTTATTCAACGACGCTTCGAAACTCTTTTTTAAGGTATTAATCTTCAGTTTAGGTAAGAATTATATGTCAGTGAGTGAGAGTAACCAGAACCGGTTCAGACCGCTTCACAATTCCATTTTTTTAAATAATTGGTCGCCGGACGATTTTAGATGAATAAAATTTATATGTAGTCGTGATTGGCTTTCGCTACTTAAGTATATCATATCACTAGCAGTGGTCTGCAGTACCCAGCCCATGGTGGTGGACCGGGTAACGTCTGAAAATAATTGTTTTGGGCCAGGTCAGGCAGAAATATAAAACGGGCCTGGCAAATTTTAATAAATATAAATATATATTTGAATTAATCCTGATATTTCATCGAAGTGATATATCATGAAGTATAATGTCTTTAACCACTCTTCAAGATCGTAAATAGTTTTTTATTTTTGAATCTTAATGAAAAATTGAAACTGGGCCAGGTAAAAGTTAAATTTCCACCGGGCCGGGCCTTATAATTTTGCCAGTTGCAGACCATTGATTGTTAGTATATTGTATTATTCTTATTCTTTTAGTGGATTAATATATTCTTACAAATACTTTCTAATTCTTTATTTTATTTATACTTATTTAATAACAACACCTTTCTATTATTATTATATATACACGCCATTTCCTTATTAAAAACATTTAAATAACTTAATTTTAACTTTAATTGATTTTTTTTATATAAATGAATGAACGAAAGAAAGAAAGAAAGAAAGAAAGAAAGAAAGAAAGAAAGAAAGAAAGAAAGAAAGAAAGAAAGAAAGAAAGAAAAAAGAAATCGGACGTGGCAGCATCTCTTCAAATAATTTTATAAAAAGGCACTGTAAATAATGTACTGCTTGATTTAAAAGATATAAATATTTTTTTAAAAAATAATTTTTGATTTGACCTCGCCAACCAAGCTTGAACAAATAAGTTCAGTTCAGTTCCATTGAAGGAACCGGTATTTAAACGAAAGGTATAGCTACCCGAAAAGACCAGAGATATGGGGACTTACCATTGTAATTATTGATTCATAAGGTGTTAGTAAAAGGTGTAATCTGAGCTAATTGACATATTTAGGTCATTTAGAATCCTACTAATATAGTTGCATATCATCTTTAAAATACTATATATAATATATATAAAAATATAAAAAAATTCCCAAAAAATTAATTTTATAATATGTTCATTATAATGTTCCAGGATGAGGAAATAAATAACAATTTTCGATTTTTTTTTTGAAAATAGTTTTATTAAATACATATAACCCTTTTTTTTAAAAAAAAGAAAAGAAAGGTGTCACTTTAAATCGAAAAAATTTAAAATTTGCAAACGATTTGATTAATAATTAATAAGAATAACTCATAAATAAATTTAATAGGGTTTTTGCCGATCCATCAATTTTCGACCGATCCGATATTTTCTGATACTGCTATAAAACCGTTGCTTTAGCCGATTAGATATCTGCACAACCCTTTATACACACTTTTTTCAATATATTTTTTTTCATTTTCACTTTTATTAGAAAAGTGAAATTTAAATATAATATTTGGGTATAAATAGTCTCTTGGTTTTAGTATTATTTGTAATTATAAAACGTCACTCGAAGATATTCGGAGTTGGAACTAATAATCTTAGTAGATGAATGGCCTATAGTTTAATTTTTCGTTACTCATAATTAATATTTCTTTGAGATCTACTATGAAAAAATAACAAAATGTCCTTGTAATTTATAAATTACATTTTTCTTTTCTCTCTCTCTCCTTTTAACCTTAAAATAATATCATTTTTATGACCAAGAATTATAAATGAATGCGTAGTATTTATTCTAATTTCATGCCAACAATTTTATGATGAAATTTATTTTTAATAATGTCTACATTATTTATATGCCGCAATAGTGCTTGTTAAACGGAGCTATTTAGCCTATTTAAATGAATATTTTCAAAATAATATTAAATTTCCAGGCTTGCGTAATTTTTCTTTTTTGACTATAATTTTAGGTTAGTCCATTAACAACACTAATTGCAGCCTGAGTGAAAGATATAATAATAATAATTATCCTACATATATTTTATAAAATTATTCAATTTCAAAATTTGTATAATTTTAATTTTTATATAAACTAAAAATAAAAATTTATTATATATCTTTAATTTTTCCCGTGGTTAATTATTCAGATATTAAAATTCTTGTGCTAGGAATTAAATATTATTAATAATACCTTACCTTTTTATTGCGAAAATAATTTTGCTATTAAAAATTTATCAAGATTTTTCGGTTTCATCATGGTTGAAATTACTTAAACATATATACCATATAAAATTTATTATTTATATGCGTTTGCAATTCATACAAAATTTGCTCGATTTTTTTTCACACAAATTTCCTTTTTGCAATGTCCACATACATTTGTCGATAGTACGTCTTATTTGTCAAATAGTACTCAATTGCTTATTAGGACTACCTTCTTCAACCTGGCTATTTAACATTAAGGACTTTATCTACTAATTTACGAATCCGACATTTTAAGCTGCGATAGTTGTTTTATGAAATAAAAATCTTGAAAAAAACGTTACCTAGATTTGGAGTTATTGACAAGTTAAAGTTGTTAGTTGATATTTTTACGAAAGTTCGGATAATAATGATACTTGCTGTTGAGTATTCTAGAGAAAAAGTATTAATCCAATCAAAGACCTGCCTTAATTAGACCCTAAAGCCCTCCAATAAATTTTATAAGAAAATCACCCACCCAATAGCTCCCCCCCCCCCTCAGAAAATCCTGGCTGCGCCTATCATACGCATTGGAATGTTTTTATTTATCTTTCTTTTTGGCTAAAATTCATCTTTCATAAGTTATAACAGCTAGCTACAGATAATATCACAATAACATGATTAAATAATAATATATGTCTTATTGGGAATATAGAGTTTATACTGGATTTAGAATATCTCGATTTTAAATCATTTACTGAGAGGCGATTTAAAAAAAAATTAAAATTAAATGTTACCGAAAATGTATTTTAGCATGTTTAGAATACGTAACACTAATTCAGACAATCTTCGCCATAAATCTTTGTATATTTTTAAAATAATTTTATGAAAGATAAAAGTTCGCGGCAAAGTTTTTTTTGAAATCCACAGCTTAGGTATTCTATACACGATTAAATACATTTCCAGTCAAGTCAGATGTTTAAAATTTAAAAAATCTCTCTCGTATGAGTCAAAATTAAGAGCTTTGGAATTTCCATGGATTCTATATCCCGAAACGACATTAATTAAATTTAATAATAGATACACAACAATTATATTTTGTAGGTTGTTTTATTCTTATGAGATAGGATCGATATCAAAAGTATCAACCTGTATCAGATCATAATTCTCCAGGATTTACTTGTAAAAAACGTACTTAAGAATTGTCTGAAAGATCAAAATTTGGTACCGTTTAGAACCTATTAAATGGAATCATTTCCGGCTTAATCCTATGATTTAATTCTTTTTTGCAAAGGTGGAATAATAAGGCTATATCGGGGATATCCCCAAGCCATGCTACAAGCCCCTGCCTCTCGCTTTGGGGACGCGGCCGCTAACGAAGTCGTAATGGCCTTGACTGAAAAACGATCATCACATACCAAACACGGATCGATAATAAGTGATACAGATGACCACTGGTTATCGGACTTGCCCATAGCCGTTAAAACCGGTATGGCTTCGGTTATGGCCGCAGTTTGGAGGATAGGGCTTATGCCAATTGATGCCTGGAAGACCGTTAAACAAGTCGAAGGTTTTTAAATATTTTTTTTAAATAAACCTTTGAATATAAAGAAAGGGAAAGGGTAAGTTGAGGAATATAAAATTTAAATATACACATAATTTATCAGGCCTGAAAGGTTCCTCTATCCTCCTTCAAAAGGTTAAAACTCACGGCCCTAAAGTTCTGTACCATGGGGTGGGCGCCACTTTTGCTGCTACTTTGGCCGGACACTACCCATGGTTCGTGACCTACAATTACCTTTCATTGCATCTGCCAAAACCCGTTAGACCTAATATTTCTTCCGATGTTGTTGGCAAAGAAGTGACTCCAAGTAATACATGATCGATATATATATTAAATTGTGCATGATACACTTACATAAATCATAAAGAGATTAATATGATTGAGTAATAATTAAAAAAAATTTTTTCAGAGTTGATCGAAAGGGGTAACAAAATGTTACCGAAATATTTTGTCATTCAAAATAAAAATATATTTGCTGATTAAGAAGAAATATAACCATTAATATGAAACCTTTACCAAATATAATAAATAACACTGATTGATGTAAATTATAAATATATTAAATGGACTGGGGATAATTAAAATGATTGGTTTGAGCTTGTTTAGGCTCCTAAATATTAAAAAAAATTAAAACTTGAAAATTACGTGAATAGCGGGGGAAAAAATATAAGCCATTTTTAATGTAAAATTAAAATATTGTCCTAGATGATTTTTTTTATAATTTAAGAATGTTTTGAGATTCTAAAAAGTTTTAAGAATCTTGAAAATTTAATCATTTTATAATTTGTGAAATTTTTCGAGATAAATGAGATATTGTGGAAAATATTAGACAGGTATAATAGTGACTTAGAGTTGATTATTTTGATGGAGAATTTACAATCCTTTTGAAAATTTAATGGAAAATCGGGACTTGTTTCGTATCTCTCAAAACTTACTAAAGTTATGCAATTCTTAAATCTTTTGAGTAGTTTTTTTAATTTAGGACACAGCCATAATAATGTAAAGTATTCACCCTTCTCATCTTCTTTTATTATATTATATAATGTATATATTAATAGTTAACGGAATTACTGGCATACCCAAACCGGATTTTCTCCCCTTTTCTCTCCCCACTATCAACCTCAAACCTAGCCCGAATCTGGAATTCAAGATGAAAGAATTGAGTAGGCAAGCTTTCATTGGTTTTATGGCTTCGGTCGTTTCGGACACCGTCACGAATTCCCTTAGAGTAATAAAGACTGTTAAGCAAACCAGCGGGAGTTCACTTAGTTACAGGGGCGTTATGGAACTCATCAAGAAAGATAGTGCTAAAGGAGGCAAATCGGTATTTTTGGGGGGTAAGGAATTATTGTAATATAAAAAATTATGTAAATAAATATCATTTTTTTAAAAATAAAAGCTTTGGAATTGATAACTTTTTCCTTAAAGGTCGATTGCCAAACAAGAAACCATACACATCATATCTTTATCGATATATTTTTTCTAAAACTACAATTCCTTAATTTCTTGGATTTACTAAATTTAAAATTGTAATTTTTGGCGAATAAAATAAGATGGTTTTGCTGATTACGGATGCATTAAACCCAATTTAAAGTGCCGAGGGGAATATTTATTAAGTTATTAATTGTCCATCATTTTTAAAAAGATGTTGACAAGCTTTGCATCAATTGTTTGGTGTAATCCCATAATCGAGAAAATGAACCCCCCATTTTTTCCTATTTGAGGTTCTAGATTTTTAAAGCACCTAATGATAAATTTAGGTAATTTATTTTATTGATGGGCAATTGTTTATAAAATAAATATTACATAAATACTATTTCTTATCCTATCATCTAAACCCGATGTTTTAAATTTAACAATTAGACACGAATAAAAATGGAAAATTTCTATATCACCAATGTTTTATATATCTTGGAATTCCAAACTAGATCTAATCCATTCAATAAAATTTTTCTTCTTTAGGTTAAATAATAAATAAACCAATACCAATTGTGTGGTTAGTCAGAGATTTTCGTGGGCTTTAATTTTTTGATCAATCTCGGCCCTAGCAAAAATTTTTTAGGCCACTGCCCATATTTAATATTTAAAAAAATTTCATAATAACTTTCAAAAATTTTTCCCAAGTCCACATTTAAAAATTTAATTTATTGTATTTAATGAAAATAAACAATATTTAGTGCATTTAGGCAAATCATTTTGTTTACAATATTGAAATTTATTATTATTAGAATAAAAAAATTGCAATATTTTTTTTTACATTAACGACTATTTTAAGCTAGATTTAAATTAAAATGGGTCAAACCCGGTATGGGACGTAAACTTGCAGATGAAGGCCTCTGTAGCATAAGAACGTTTCAGAATAAAAATAGTAATATTTACATCATCATTAACTTCAGTAGCAACAGTATTTTATCATTTGTAGTGCATTCTAAACTTAGGAATCGTTTAGGAACTGAAAAGAAGGGATAATTAAATTCAAATATCAATGTTGAGGATATAGATATTTGTTTTGTTTAAAAAACAACAATTTTTATTGGATTTTTAATTTTACAAAATTATTTTTATTATTGTAAAGATTATATATAATGAACTTAAATTAATTTTAATTTATTAGTTTGTATATTAATTTTTTTTATTAAGTTCAAAATAGTTTTCAAATTTTGGAAAAAAAGAAATTCCAGAATATTATTTTCTAGTGAAATTTAATTGCTTTATTATCATTTGTTCTCAAAATTCTCTTTCATATGTGTCTCCTTATGGCGGCATATAAAGATTATCATGTTAGAATTAATTATGAAAATAAAATCGACATTTTTATTTAAAGAAAAGTAGCGCGCTATTCGCTGTCGTTACAAAAAAAAAGAGTAACTCGCTACTTTAACAACTCTACTTATCATCTTTATTATTTTCTATCATCATTTTTTTTTATCTTTTACTATTCGCTATTTATTATAATTATTCACCAATCCTTCATCCACTTTCCCTTTACCTTTAAATTTTTTGCTATAATTTTTCACATCCTAAAAATATAATGTAAAAATGAGCTTTTACCGAAAATATTTTATGGGAAAAACGTCCATAATTGTCAATTACAAACTGACAGATACAACAAATAGGTTCCTGGACTAGGAAATATTTATGAACTTATTTAAAAAATAACAGTGTTTTAATATTAAGGACAAATATTACACCATTTTTCAAAATACACAAATATCTACAAGTCAACAAATATTACATCTTTTTTCGAAATAAACAAATAACTACGAGTCAACATAATTCAACATTCTTTCCATTATTCCCATTTGCATCATCTTCCTTTTTCCCTTTAGCGATTCTGAATTCTGACTCTTTCTTTTTAATTATTAATTTCTTTCTATTATTACTCGTCCCCACGAATCTGACCATTATAAGAAATATAGTCATAATTATAATAATATTCTTAGTATATAATGAGATTATATCACGAGAATTTTAAGAATTCGATAAAATAAATCTTAATAAAACCTCTTCGTTTTTGATGACCATTTTTAACATTATCATTAATAATTTGTCTATTTTTAAATATAAAGGGAACAGTATATTTATGAGAGGCCTGGGAACCAGGATAGCCGTTAATGGATTACAAGGCCTCACCTTTTCCGTCCTTTGGAAAGTCTTCATGGATTACTATAAAACGCTACCTCATATGCAACAAAAAACTTAGGGAAAAATCATCTGGTCACCATAAATAACTTTTGCTTCTAAGAATTATCTTAGAAAATCAAATAAATGTGGAAATATTACCCCCACTCTTTCACTTAGTCATTATTTTTTAAAATTTAAAAAAATATTTTTTCGAAAAAATGTCATTTTTGTGATAATAAATATATCTTGTCAAAATTTAAAAATCTCTATTCAATATTATGTTATATCTTTATTCGTTTATTCAATGCTTTCCTTTTCAAATTTTAGTATGATACATTTAAAAAAATATGTATATTTATTATAATGCCTTAAAGGTAAGATTTAAAAAATTTTTGTCTTGCCCTTTTTTCTACCAATTTTATTTATTTATTGATACTCAAATTTTTGTTCAAATTTATATTTAATATTAACATATAACCTTGTCCTCTTTCATGTGATTTACGTAACTATAGCGAAAATACTATTCCTAAATGCAATTATTTCTTTTGTACATTATAGGGATATTTATTTTTATCAATTTATTTATTTTGAAGTTTTAAAAGTTGATGATTTTTTTAATTAATTTCATTCGTTCGTTTATAATAAATTATTGTAATATTATCTATTCATAAAAACATTTTTATAAAGTAACGATAATAATTCAGGTAACGCATTAAATATATTTATTTTATAATTAAATAATATAAATAAATATGTACATAAAATAATTCAAATTATGTGTGATATTTTTTTATTTTATTTGAGCGTTATATATTTGCCAGTTGATATTGAACGCTATAAAATATGTTAAAGAATGAGTATGCCAGATTGTTTTAAGAGATATAAAGGGAACCAAATCGAGGAGTAGTTGAAATAGCATAATACGAAATCAAGATTTTCTTTAAAAGACGGATTGGAGGATATTTATTTATAATTTAGAGCACATTTTTTAAAAATTACAATTAATTTCAAGACAATTTTGAATTAATAATTATATACAAATCTTAAATGGCTTATTTTGAGTCGATTTTTTAAAAGGGGTAACTTAATATCTTAGCCAAAAAATTATGCCTAAGCCTCGAGTTCGTTTATATATGTCTAGACCTCTCCTTCTATGAGCAAAATCTACAGGCTTGCGTAATATTTTTCTGGATGGGATATTGGTTAGCCGTTTTTAAAAATCTACTCAAAACGAGACGTTTAACACTACAAAAATTTATAGGTAAGGGAAGGGAAAATTGATTATAAAATTTGAGGACAATTGTCGGAAATTCACAAGGTAAGTACTATACACCTGTTGGAATACAATTCCAGCAAAATCAAATCTATAAAAATAAAAAATTACGCGCTATGTTATAAATAATTTTAATTTTAAAGATTTTATTATTCCCTAAAGTGCAATAACGGATTACACATAAATTCCTTTATACATTAAAAATAAAAACACTCATAATCAACTATTTTAAATAGAATAACTTTAATGTACAGCCACAAGGAATACTTATCATAATCCAAATGGATGTATAACAATATCCTTTGTATTTGTAAATTTTGTCATTACGCTAGAGATAAAATGATGAAACCAATTTCATTTATAAAAACTTAACTTTAAGTTTATTAAATTTGTCCGAATGAAGAAAAAAACTATTGCAACTCAAATATATCAATAAATTTATTTATCCAGGCTATAAATGAGGAAGATTTATTCGATTTTGACTAAGTCCTAGTTTATGAAAAAAATTACAGCTATTTGTTATAGCCAGAATAGCCATAGCCAATTTTAATTAATATGATTAATAGTCATCCATCCCCAAATTTTAAATAGCCTTGCTTATTTTTAAAAAGAATTACCAAAAAAACCATTAGCTATAGAGCTATTTAAAATTGTTATAGGTATTAGCCATAGTTGTTTTTTTATGACTACAGCTATTTAGCTATTAATTTATTGGCTAATAGGCTAATCGTATCCATTTCGCCATCTATAACAAGGATTGCTGAATCGAAATGGAAAAAGTTGCCTTTGTTTACCTGCCTTTTTATAAAATTTGGTTACATCTCCCTTCGATTTAATTGTCTGATATTTTATGATATCTTTTTTTCATGAGAGAATCCTTAATTCTTTTTAATTATTATTCCCTATATGTTTTTAAGTTATGATCAACATCCTATCTGCTGGTCATTCTAGAATGTATCAATGAACTATTTTTAATTGATTTGGGTTGAGGCTCCATTCTATAAGTGGTCTTGATAGGAAAAAATATTGCGATTAATAAATTCGTATATTGTGGTATTTATAGTTTGTCTATAAAGCCTAAATCTTTTAAAACCCCACACTATCTGGGAATTTCGTTGTCCTTTTAAGAGTCAAGATGAATAGCTCCTGATTTCTTATTACAATATTTATAAAGCGTAAGTCTTTTGCAACCCATCACTAGTAATTTTGATGTTCAAGGAAGGTCAGGGGTTTGAACCGAACTCGAATAAGAAACCCCGAGTTTTTGGAAAAATTTGAACCCGAACCAAACCTGAACCCTGTTTATAAAATTTTCAAAATCCCGAACCGAACCCATGAATTTTATTTGAATCCGGATTCAGTGTATTGTTTAAATTAATATAAGATATTTGTATAATTGTAAATACAAATATTAATAATTTACTTGACATTTTATAATATTTTCAAATTTCCAATTAAGTGAAGTGTTAATATTCTCAGATTCCTATTGGATTGTTAATAAATTTTAAACAATTACATTCATTTAAGCCATTTATTTTTAACTTATTCTTAAAGATTATTAATTAGAGGAAAATGAAAGTGAACAAGTCAAAGTAAAAATTATAATATTGGATATTGTTAATTTAAAGAAATATGTCTAAATAAAATTTTTTAAACCTATACATGACTATGCTTTGTATTTTTAACTATATTTTGCCTATAAATAAAATAAAAAATTTATTTTTTATACCAAATTTATGTCTAGTTTTTTAATTATGATATAAATGTAGAATAGTTTTTTTTATCAATTCAAAAATTCTTAAACCCGAGCTGAACCCGGAACCAAACCAAGGTTCAAAAATATTTCCCTGAACCAAATCCACCTATTTTTTTCTTAACCTTAAACCGAACCCGGGCAAAAATTTTGCCGGGTTCGCATCTCTGAGGAAGATAATAGCTGCCTATTCCTTACTACAGAATCTATAACACTACCCGAATTAACATTAATTTATTCATCGATAAATATAATATTATACCATTCCTATTGTCAAATTATAATAATTCACCCATTAATAGTTTCTTCGAGAGTTGTGTGACTACTTATCACAGAATAGAATGTATTCTACCAAGACAAATATACTCATAGAAGTTGTGATCATATCAAAGAACAGATGTAATATTATTAAATTTGAGTAAGGTGAGTTAGACTGATCTAAGAAAATTTTTCAAAGACCCGGTTTTAAGTAAATATATTCTATTTTGGACATATTTTAATTTTACCATATTATCATTCTATTCAGTTTCAATCTTCAAAAAGTTTCATTCAAATATTCCTTTTTAATGCTGGAAAATGTGAGATGTCAAGTATCCTAAGATTTTGCTCTCCGGAGGCCATTAGAGCGGTAATTTATATTAAATTTTAAAAATGTTAAATTGTAAACCTTACAAATGTAAAATTCCCTGGATTATGGGGAACTTTGTAAAAATATCCCAAATATGCTAAAACTCAAAAATAAAATTCGCCTAAAATGAGATATGCTTGACTCGAATGAATTAGATATACTAAATAGAGTAAAAACTAAAAATTCTTAAACTATAATATATTAATTTTTGATGAATAAACTTTTATTACTAGAAATTATAATGATCTAAATATACATCAGTTCAACTCATGCTCTTCTTCTATCATGATATCGCTATCTGCTGATATATTTGCATTTTGTAAAATTTCAGGAGTTAAGATAACTATATAATATATTAGTATCAATTTATGATGTATATTAAATTACAGTTTATGAAAAATAACTTTTCCACGCTTTTATTGTTAAGTAAATGGTTTTTCCAAAATAAAACCAAATTCTCTTCAAAGCTGCACTCATAGGAGGTCTATGTTTTATAGAGATCATATTTATAGCTTAGTGCAGATAAGCCTCTCCGTCATATCAAATGTTGAAGAAGCTTTGTGCATTATCACACGTTCTCATAAAATTGGTTAAAACAACGATATATTGAATTCTGCAATTATAATATATCATCATTGGTTAGTTCAAAACAATGGAAACGAGGATCCCGAACTCTTTATGTTTTTTCACTTGCTGTAACTTATATTTCTGATCACTTTTGTCAAAAAAACCATACTTGTTTTTATTAATGTTGAATGGTAAATGAATTCGAAACTTGTGATTGGAGATTGGGCGGGCCTAATTTTTTATTCATTGTCGGCCCACTAACATTGGCAATAAAAAAAACTTTGACCCGACCCACTCATGAATGACAATATTTTGATCACATCCAAAAATTAATTTTTCAGAACTTATTGCTATATACTTTACTGAATTTATTCTATCAGTTTTTATTTCTCTAATTCCATATCAATAACACAAAATAATTAACATTAAAAAAAGATTGCTGTTTTATTTATTTCAATTGTGTTCGCCTTTCCACTAATAAGGGATTGGCTATAGAAAATAACCTTTCAGTAGAAGCCAAACTTGCCAGGACTGACAAAATTTTACTAGCTAACATTCTCAAAAAGGACATGAATTTTCATGCTTCCAAAACTTCAAAATATTGTCATTGTTATTTTTTTTTTATGAGTGATGAATCTTTTAAGTTCATCCTTACAACTTTCATTGGTAGATGTTGATGCTTCATCAGAATCATCTAGAAATTCTCTAATTATTTCATTTCCTTTAAATGAAAAATGAAGTGTGATTGACAGGTATGTCATAAAATTTTAACTATTTTAAAAAGTCCAACCCAACACAGGGGTTTTTTATATTTATTTTCCAATTCAATCTAGATTAAAAATTTTTTTTAAACAGAACCTAGTTTCAAGTCAGATTTATATTATAATTAAAACTAAGTTTTACAAATTTCAAGTAATATCTAGTTGACTGCCTAGTTCAAGTAGAGATCTGCAAATCACAGCCTTGCCCATACAAGTTTTGGACAAGGTCCATTTAAAAAAATAATTTTGGGCTTGGTCAAATTTAAATAAGATATCATTACATTTTGTCAAATAATATTTTAAAATTCTCGCAAGAAGCAAGGTGGTAATATTTTACTTACAATAAAAGAAATTAAATTTTTCTATATTTAGGGCAAGGTAGACAAATAATTTTTATTTTGGGTAGGGCTTTCAGAAAAAATAAAAAAATCCTTTCAGAATCAGGCCAGACAAATTTGTAGATCACTAAGTTCAAGGCTACTATAAAATTTTTAAGTTAAAATATAAATAAATGAAAACCCATTTTTAATAATTTTGATGCCTTTTCACCTTGTAAGTATATTATTCTTCTGAAATGTATTATTTAAAACTTTCAGAATTAAAATGATGTTAAATAAAGATAAGCTGTTCACCTAGGGCAGCACCCTCAAATATAGGGAAGGAGAAATATCAAGCAAATCATAGTTGGTTTAATTTATGATACA